GGACTAAGGATCTAGGAAGGATGCCTTATGTGTCTGTTATATGTGCTTTTGAGCTGCATGATAGTGTTGATTAGACAGAGATAGGATAGCCTGCTTAAGTTATGCCTGATTACATGAGCTTATATCGCATGCTAGTACAGATTCCTGTTATGTGGATAGAATTGCTTGAACTTGTTTCCTTTTTGTCTGAATGTTGCTTGCTTTGTGCTATGTGGGGCTCGGAGTGATGGGAGTTAGCTATTAGGTTGGTACGTTAGGTCACATGCTATCAGGGTTGAATAATCTCAGAGTGTTGGATTTAACCCTACTGCATAGCTGTTGTTTGAGCCCTAACTGTTATAGGGATGAGTCCCTTACTCGAAGGATTATCTGAGCCTCGTAGCATGTGACTGTATCCATATGGTGGCTAATTAGCATTGCAAAGAGGCCTTCAGCAGTTGAGGACTGGTTTGGGTGGAGTCAGAGGAACCCTAGGGCAAGCCTAGGATGGGAGTAGCAAAGATCAGTAGTAGTACAAGGGACTTGGTGGAGTCAAGGTAGTTCTTGAGGAAAGTATGGATAAATGTGGAAGGTAGTATGGGCCCATACTACTAAGAGCAGAGGATTCGTACTTGAGTCAAGGAAGGCAGAGATGAGACTAGGAAACTTGTGATAGATGTGATCCCTCTAGATGTATCAGTATCACTGACATTTGTCATTATGTATTGCAGAATGGTGGTGTTACGTCCGAGGCCACCAGTTAGCAGTTCAAGAGATGGATCAGGTTCGGGTTCAGGTTCCAAACCAGTGAATGAGAGGCTACACGAGTTCATCGCGTCTGAAATCACTAGAGGCATCCTTGATGCGACCCAGGTCATCTTTGGGTCGATCAAGGAAGCGATTATCGAGTTGATGGAGGATCGCCTCAGGGCGTTCAGGAGTGACATAGAGACCATCCTGTCAGGATCACGGGCACTATCCTTTAAGGACTTCAGGGGCAGTGGTGCACCAGATTTCCATGGAGCGAAAGACCCCATTGCTGCCAGACGACTGATTGCATACATTAAGTCTGCACAGTTGGCCAGCTTCTGCCCCGAGGGGTCGAAGGTGAGATACGCAGCAGGGTGCTTGAGAGACAGGGATAGAGATTGGTGGGAGTCGGTTAATGACTCTCTGGGAGCCTTGGCTATTGAGGCTATGACATGGTAGGACTTTGTAACTCGATTTAGTAGTGAGTTCGCGCCATCTATGGAGCTTCAGCAGCTGGCCAGGGAGTTTTTGGATATGAGATAGACTACGGAGACTATGGCGGAGATCACCGCCAAGTTCCAGGAGAGGGCATTACTGGTGCACCAGTATGCAGGAGATGAGGACATGAGGAGGACCCGTTACCATGACATGTTGCGAGCCGACATTCGAGAGCATGTTAGTTTTTTCAGCTTGCCCTACCTTGGATTCCATGATTGCCAGGGCAAAGGAGAGGGAGATCGATCTGGATCACATCCGAAAGAGGAAGTAGAGGAGGGGCAGATGACTGGGGTTTCGGGGAAGAAGCCCAAGGGATCAGATGGTAGGCCAAAAGGCCAATCAGGACAGGGCCGCTGCAGGAAATGCGACAGGCCGCACGAGGGGGCGTGTAGGTTGGGATCTTCGGGTTGCTACAAGTGCGGCAAGATGGGGCATTTCAACAGGGATTTACCGCCCACGCACCCACTATCCAGATATCCAAGTTGTTGTGTTTCCACTGCAACCAGAGGAGCCATAAGAAGGCCAATTGCCCCCCAGTTGACAGCAGCAGAGCCAGTGAAGGCACCAGCCCCGACGACCCTGTGGATTACGGATGGCCGAAAGGCCAAGGTAGAGGCTCCAGTGGTGCGAAGCTGAGCATTTCAGTTGACAACCGAAGAGGCACGCGCTGCACCTGATGTGGTGACGGGTACGGTTTCTTCTCTTATTTCTTTATGTTATGTCGTTGTGATTTTGATATGTTATGTGTAGGATCTGTTTAGGATTGTTCCATGTGAACGGTAACCCGTTTCAGGTGTTGTTCGACTCGGGTGCTACCTGATCGTTTGTTTCTTTTACGCTTAGCAAGAAGTTTCCTGAGTCTTCGGGCATGTTGGATTTCCCTCTAAAGGTTGAGATTGCGGATGACCGATCTGTGTGAGCATCAGAGGTCTTCCGGGGTTGTGTTTTGAGGTTGTTCGAAGAACGTTATCTAGTGGATTTGGTTCCCATACCGTTGAGGGGGGAACACGGTTATTATTGGTATGGATTGGCTAAGCTCCAATGGGGTAGTGATTGACTGCGTGCAACAGTTGGTTCGGATCAAACCCCAGGTGGGAGAGAGCTAGTGATTCAGGGCGAGAGGCCACAGTGAGGACCAGCTTTATGTTCGGTAACGAGGGATAGGTACTACCTTCAACAGGGCTCCGCAGGATACGTCGCCTATGTTATGGACACCCGAGAGGCGGGAGGGGCGACGGTGAGTGATGTGCCAGTAGTGCGAGAATTCTCGGATGTATTCCCCGAGGAGTTTCACGGGATACCTCCAGAGAGGCAGGTGGAGTTTAGGATCGACCTAGTCCCTGGTGCAACTCCGATAGACAAGGCACCGTATCGGTTGGCTCCTCCTGGGATGCATGAGTTGTCTACACAACTGCAGGAGCTGTTAGACAAGGGAATCATTAGACCGAGCAGTTTGCCCTGAGGAGCCCCGATTCTGTTTGTGAAGAAGAAGGATGGGTCGCATCGGATGTGTATAGATTATCGAAAGCTGAATAAGGTAATGGTGAAGAACTGTTACCCACTCCCGAGGATTGATGACCTCTTTGACCAGTTACAGGGAGCATCTTGGTTCTCCAAGATTAATTTGCGTTTGGGGTATCATCAAATGAGGGTCAGAGAGGAAGATGTACAGAAGACTACTTTTCGGACACGTTATGGCCACTATGAGTTCCTGGTGATGCCCTTCAGGCTCACCAATGCTCCTGCCACATTCATGGATCTCATGAACCGCGTGTGCAGACCGATGTTGGATTGGTCTGTGATAGTTTTCATTGATGACATCTTGGTTTATTCCAAGACTTGAGAGCTGTATGAGGAGCACTTGCGATAGGTTTTGGATACTTTGAGGAGGGAGAGCTTGTATGCTAAGTTCTCTAAGTGTGAGTTCTGTTTGTGCGAGGTGCAGTTTCTTGGGCACCTTATCAACCAGAACGGGATATCAGTTGATCCGGATAAGGTGGAGGACGTGATGAGGTGGGAGGTCCCGTAGTCTCCATCTGAGATTCAAAGCTTATTGGGGCTGGCAGGCTACTATCGGAGATTCATTCAGGACTTCTCCAAGATAGTCGTACCTCTGACCAGGCTGACAAGGAAAGCCGTGGTCTTTCGTTGGGGGCCTGAGCAGCAGGCAACGTTAGAGACATTGAGACAGAGATTGTGCGAAGCGCCAATCTTAGCCCTACCAGAGGGCGTAGAGGATTTTGTTGTGTACTGCGACGCATCCATTTCAAGTTTGGGCGTAGTTTTGATGCAAAGAGGACATGTCATTGCTTACGCTTCGAGGCAGCTGAAGCCTCACGAGGCGAACTATCCGACGCATGATTTAGAGCTAGGGCGGTTGTTTTTTCCCTCAAGATTTGGCGTCATTACCTCTATGGGGTTTGTTGTACCATTTACACGGACCACAAGAGCCTGAGGTATCTCATGAACCAGCCAAATATGAACATGAGGCAGCATCGGTGGTTAGATGTGGTGAAGGATTAAGTTTGTGAGATCCTTTACCACTCAGGGAAGGCAAATGTGGTGGCTGATGTGCTTAGCCGCAAAGCAGCACCGATCAGGGATATATGCATGCGGATGACAGTTGTGACTCCGCCGTTAGAGCAGATCCGAGAGGCCCAACAGGAGGCTATGAAGGAGGAACATCGGAAGAGTGAGCGTATTGTTGGTCAAGTTTCCTCTTTTGACTATGATAGCTGAGGGTTGTTGACCCTCCACCGTAGGGTGTGGGTCCCCTATCATGGAGGCTTACGTAAGACCTTTATGGAGGAGGCGCACAAATTCAGGTTTTCTATCCATCTCGGGGCGACGAAGATGTATAGGGATCTTCATCTTGACTATTAGTGGCCCTGCATGAAGCGGGACGTAGCATGGTTTGTGGAGCGGTGCTTAACCTGCAGGAAGGTCAAGGCTGAACATCAGAGGCCACACGACAAGATGCAGTCGTTGGATATTCCCATGTGGAAATGGGAAAATATTACCATGGACTTCATCACCAAACATCACAGGACCACGTGGGGAGTGGATTCTATATGGGTCATCGTGGATCGATTGACCAAGAGCGACCATTTTATGCCTCTCTATTACTTTATAATTTTCAAGGCTCCTCCGTCCGTGCTTGACTTATTTGAAAGGATTCGTAAGAGATTTCTTTAGGGCGGGAATGAAGAGAATCACAAGATCTGTTGGGTTGCTTGGAGACACGTTCTTGGTGACAAAGAGAGTAGTAGGCTCGTGGTTGGTTCTTTCAAAAGTCTCAACATTGCCTTATTGTGCAAATGGTTTTGGAGGTTAAAAATCGATGACTCCTCATTGTGGCAAAAAGTTATTTCTGGGATCCACAATCTCGCTCGTAAACCGGTCAATAATCTGTCTAAGAAGCCCATTACTGGCGTTTGGAGTAACCTGGTGATGATTTTGAGTTCTTTGGCAGATTTAGACCTTGACCTTTATTCACTGCTTTCCCTCAATGTCGGATCTGGTAGCAATACTTTATTCTAGCTAGATAATTGGATCGGGGAGGGGCTCTTGGATGTTCGATTTTCTAATTTATTTGAATTGGATAAATGCAAATCTTGCTTTGTGGCTGATAGGTTAAAATCTCACGTGCCTGTTTGGGCGTGGAAACGGAAACCCAATCTTCAGGCGGAGGTAGCAGAGTTGATCCATATTAATAATCTATTCGGTGGGATCAATCTAACTGGAGGGCCCAACAATAGAAATCCAAACTATGTATGGATGGTCGTTTCTATGTTCATGATGTTCGGAAACTCATTAACTCCAAAGTCACGATTGGTTTAAACAATCATATGACGTGGACTCATTTGGTCCCTATAAAAGTTAATTGCTTTATCTGGAGAGCTAACATGGATCGTATCACGTCTTCTGCTGCCATTGTTAAAAGAGTAGTTAGAGTGGTTTCTACTGTTTGCCAACTTTGCAATGTTGAGATTGAAGGAATGGACCATCTGTTGACGATCTGTGGTTTTGCTAAGGAGGTTTTCAAATGGATTTTCAGGTGGTGTGATATCCCTCTTGATAAATTATCTACATTCCCGAAGGCTTTGAATTTTGCGGATAAAATGGATGAATTCTCCCGAGAAAAGGAAGATTTTTATTGTCATCATGTATGAAGTGCTTTGGAATATTTGGAAATGCCGGAATGATAAGATATTTAAGAAAATTCATTCGTTGCCCCCTAAAGTTGCAGACAGTACTATTACTATGGTGTTTGGGTGGATTAAACATAGAGGTAATTCCGAAACCGTAATTGGGTTAACCGGTGTAGTTTTCCATTTAATGTCTTGTAATTTGGGGGTTGGGGGTAGAGGTGCCATTTTGGTGTTGTTCCGATGTTGTTCTTTCTTTTGTTTTGTTGTTGGTGTCGTGACTTCTGCCTTGTTACACATTAACTTGTTTCCATATTAAATTTCACCGTTTAAAAAAAATCAGAAATATTTAAAAATACAAATATTAAAAGATAAAATCATAATCATTCATCAATATAGACTTTTGTGTAATCATGATATCCTAAATTTAAGGGAATCATGTGATAAATGCTATGGTTGTACCAATTTAATGATACTTACTCTAGCAAATTCCATACTAAAGAAAAAGAAAATATATTTTTTTTGGTAGCAAAATAAACAAAATGAGTAGGGCCTAAAAGGCCCCCCGAGGTTAGTATGTTTGACACGTGGTAAAAGAATTTAAGGGTAACCGGCTATATCCGGTAACCGAATCCCGGTCACTTTCAATACAAAAAGCTTATATCAAGACCCTTCTGGTCACCTTTTTCTTCGTCTTCCTCCCCCTCGACAACAATGGGCGGCGGAGTAGAAAAATCGTTCGCCTCAACGGCGGCCGGAGATATCACCACTCCAAAAGATAAAGAAGAAGATGTAAGCTTGACTGACTTAAAGAAAAGAATGGCCGATTTCGCAAAGGAAAGAGATTGGGATCAGTTTCATAGTCCACGAAATCTCCTCCTCGCACTGGTAAAATTTTCCGATCTTGCTCTATGCTTCCTCTTTTCATCATCATATGCTCGCGTACACATGATTCAGTTAATCTAGTTATTTATTTGAATTTACGTTTCTCCTGTTCAGATTGATTACAAATGCAGAATCGATTGTAGAAGCTTTTATGCTTATTCTCTATATCTTTAATATCCGAGTTTCAGTTTCTGTAAATTTATCTTCCTAAATGTTGCTTTGATTTCACGCATTTCAATTCATATCCAAAAAATACCAATTACGATGCGACTAAAACCACCAAAAACCTATTCGTCGATTTCAAACCGAGTATCCATTACAAAATTTCCACGAGTTCGCTGTAAATTTACCTCTAAAATTTGTACTATTTCCTATGAAGCAACATTTACTCTGCTGTTTTAGTATACAGAAGGGATTTTGAAGTTAAAACAATAAATTGCTTACGTTTGAAAAGTAAACCCTTTTTTTTTGGAATGAATTACTTTTCCTCTTTTTCCTTTTTCTGGGGAAAAGGTTATGAGAATTGGGGTGCATCAATGGACCAGTACTTGCTTCGTGGCACCCCATCACACCCCATGTCACATGCAATGTCCAAAGAAATTTAGACTTAATAATCCCAATTTATTAATATGAGATTCTATAAAAGTATATAATTCTTTGAAATCAGTAGCTGTAATTAGGGGTTTATAATTCTGATCAGAGTAATTACCTCTAATTGACTCCAATCACAGCTATATACACTTCTAATTACCAAAACCCCAATCTTCATTAGATTCAAATCCAGATTGAGGATTAGTTTCTGGTTTAATTGAGTACAAAAAGGTTTGATAATGTTAGGTTCATTTATATGTCAGTTTATATAAATGCCAAAAGCCCAAAACCATTAGCTTTTTGCTTGAATGATATGTTATTCTTTCATATGATATTATTGATGCAATGAAAGATTAAGAAAGAAGACTGCTGTAATATGATTTAATTACTGTAGATTAATATGATGAATCTTCATTTAATATTAATTAAAATTTTAAGTTATTTACACATTAAACCATATGTTTGTGGGTGATTAAAGCTGGCAGTTGTCTGCTTCTGAGAAAAAGACACTGCCTGGTAAAGGCAGCCTTGTTTTGGTCGTTGTAGGACCACTTCAAAAGTAGGTTAATTTTTCTTTGTTGAAAATATCCATCTATTTACAGAAAGTGACAATTTTTTTTTTGCTTCTACAATTTTCTTTTTTAACTTTATATACGATCTGTTGTTAAAAATTGTTAAAAATACTTTAAAATATAGCTTCGGATAGTTGTATAAGATATTTATACAATTGTCAACAATCAACCCAACCAAAAATTAATTGGTTGGGTTGAAGGGTTGTTAACAATCAACCCAACCAAAAATTAGTTGGTTGGGTTGAAGGTTGTCAATAATCAACCTAACCAAAAATTAGTTGGTTGGGTTGAAGGGTTGAGATCTTCAACCCTATCAACTTGTTTAATAAATAGGCTGTGTTAGGTTTTTGACCTAACACCAACCTATTTAAGTTGTGGTTATGTTTTTTATTTTGTGGTCGAAACTTTTTTATCAAGTGGGGGGTCAGATCAAAGGGTTACTGGAAAAATAACTTTTTTGCAGAAACACTGAGAAGTGTGTATTTTGTATTTCAGGTGGGGGAAGTGGGAGAGTTATCGGAGATATTTCAATGGAAAGGCGAGGTACCAAAAGGGCTTCCGGATTGGAAAGATGAAGAAAAAGAACATCTCGGGGAGGAATTATCAGATGTGTTGTTATATCTAATCAGGCTATCAGATATTTGTGGTATTGATCTTGGGAAAGCTGCACTTAGAAAACTGCAAGTCAACGCCATTAAGTACCCGGTCAACCTTTGCAAGGGATCTTCCAAAAAACATAATCAAATCGTAAACACCTCTTTTCCGGCCACCACTAGCAATGGTAGCGGCAGCGTCGAGGATGGTGTTGGTGTCTCTCATGATGGTGTTTGATTTTTTTTTTTTTTTTTTCTTTTTGTTTTATTTCTTGTTTTTACCGTTGACTTAATGAAATTTCTTTTATATGGTTTATAATTGTTTAATCAATTTTCATTTATATGGTCCCTGTTTGTGTGGCTGCGGACATTATATTGTTATGTGGTCCTCGTTTTAACTTTTTCTTCTAGAATGTTTGGTTTTTAATTTCTTTCAACTGTTTCTTCTAAACATTATTGTTAATACGATTAATTTGCATTGACATAGAAACTGTGGAAAACTTTAGGAGAGTTTGGAAATTGAGAGATTTTCTTGACTTTTTACGGGGTGTTTGGGATTGTTAATTTGAACCATTTTTTTCAAGTGTTGGTGAAAACTGAAAACTCCACAAATCATAGCAACAAGTTGGATCAGTAAAAACTGAAAACTCTGACATGGGTTAACTGATATATGTGTATAGTTGGTTATGTAAAGAGAAAAGAAAATGATGATACAATCCATATGGTTTTTAAGTTAAAATATTGGAGAGTAAATTGGTTTACTAAGTATCATAAGCATTTTTAAATAAGTTGGAAAATTAATTTATTTACCTGTATTTCTTTTTTCAAGTATCCAATACTACGTATTACTCATGATAAATTAATAAACATCTTAAATAAACAAATTAACCCATTTCTACCCTTCCCACCCTAAAAGAACACTTTTTGGAGTTATAGAGTATGCCACAAGTACAAATACACATACTTTTTTTTTTTTTTTTTTTTTTTTTTTTTTTAAAACCAGCAAATCTAATCTATTTCTAAGCTAACAAGAAGTATTCTATTTATATCCATAACGAGACTTGAACACTAGACCTCAAAGAGAGAGGACACCACTTGATACCGCTGGGCTACAAGCTCTTTGGTACATACTCTCTATGTACCTCAAATTGTCTTATTGATAACGATGTTCATGTCTTTATCAAAGTAATGTTTTTGTATTACATACCATAATCTGGATAATCACAACAATAATAACAACTTCTGTCATAATTTAATAAATCTATAGGAACCGGTTATAATCACTTTGAAAATAGTTAGAAAAAATTTAGGATATGTTAAGTTATGGAAAAACAACTTGTTTTCCAAAAAATAAAAAATAGATAAATAAATAAATTGAAAGAACGTTTTCTTTAACATTTTTTATTATTTCTAAGAAACAGGAATTTTTCATTTTCAAAAATTATAAAAAAGAAAAAGAAAAAAAACTTGAAAACTGATAGTTATTGTTTTTCATACTTTTTGTAACATCCTGATTCAGATGGTCCAAGATCAGGGTTCGTGGGCCACGAGTCGGGCATGAAGAAGTCTCGGGTTGTGGCGAGTTTCTGGAATTGTAAGGCATATCATCACCTTTCCGTAGGTATGAGGACCTTTGGAATCGCAGTTATACCAAAGAAGCTATGGAAGTTTGAAGATTTGGCAAGATGAGTCCCTAAAGTGGAGAAGTGTGGCAGCGAAGTACGTTGGGCGTACGTATGCGTACGCTTAGCGTACAAATGCGTGTGTTCCTTAAGAAAGAGCCACCTAATACGTTAAGCGTACTAGGCACAGAAGGAAAACCCTAATTTTTAAGTTACCCTATATAAAGAATGAGATGGCCTCATTCTTGGCCACCTTTCTCAGAGAGCAAACCCTCCAAAACCCTAGTCCTTCATTCTTGGAGCTTGTATGTGTATTTAAGAGCTTTTGAGAGTTTTGGAAGCCTTGAAGAAGAAGGAGTTGGAGTCCAAGCTTCTAGATCTGAGCATATCTGAGATGGGAGCTTCTTTTTGAGGTATAAAGCTTCAAACTTTACCTCTCTTTTGTTTTAAGTATGTTAATGGGGTATTTTAGGGTTTTATCCCAAAAAGGTGGAGACTTGATGAGATCCTGAACTCCAGATACTAAGACCCTCCCCTTTTGAGCTTATTAGTGGTGTAATGTCATAAAAATGGGATCTTGGGTGTTGGAACCAAGTTATGCATAAGATAAGAGCTTATTGGGTAAAGAGAATAAGTGTTTTGTGTGCTTGTGACTTCTTCATCCATGCAAAGGCTTAAAGTCGATAACTTTATGGAGTAGGAGATGTTAGGAAGTCCAGATCCAAGAGATGAGTTAAGGTCTTAACGGGTTAAGACCCAGAAATTTATTTAAGCAAAACTGAGAGTACGCCCAGCGTAATCCTAGTACGCCCCGCGTACTGGGCTGAGGTCCCCGATCAGATTTGTGCATGCTTGAGTACGCTGAGCGTACCAAAGGAGGTACGCCCCGCGTAACCCCTTTATGGGCTTTTGGGCTAAGTGATGTGTTGGGCCTTGAGTGTTAGGCCTGGGGTTCGGGCTTCACGCAATAGATCCTTGGATCAGAGAATCATATGTGTGTGCTTTGGGCCCATGAGTTGGGCTTGCCTTTTAGTTGGGGTTTTGGACTGTGTGAGGGCCCATTTATTATTCGGCCTTGGTGGGCCCAATGGGTTCAGGGTATTAATGGGTTGGCAGGTTGTATATCTTTAGACCTAAATAGTGAGAGGTTGGACTTAGCTCCTAACTGAGATAATTGTGGGTTTGGCACAGAGTTAGAGGCTGGTGTGTGGCAGCAGTGTTTTTAGGATGTTGTTCTTCATCCGAGCTGAGTTTTCTCACTATACGTTACCTAGTATGGTATAATTATGTACAACAGAGGATCTTGTATGCTATGTGTATGTATGTGATTATGTGCAATGTGATATATGTATGCTATGTGATTGTATAGATCGGATGGATGATCCAACGACATAGACCGGACCAAAGGGTCCAACGATACAGACCGGGCCGAAGGGCCCAACGAGCTATGACCGGACCAGAGGGTCCAACGAGCTACGGGACTGGAGGGTTCCGCTGAGGCACATCGACCGGAGGTTCAAACAGAGTTATAGCCTCGAGTGGCTAATATGTGTTGTATGTGGTATTTTGGGGAACTCACTAAGCTTCATGCTTACCGTGTTATGTGTTATGTGTTTATGGTTTTCTTATCTGGATCGTTCACACCAGAGAAAGATTTAAGAGGATCCTGGATTAGTAATGGAGTTGTGCTTTGTAATTAAATAAAAGAGATTTTTATAAGATATGTTAAGAAGAGTATGCATTTTAAAAATGAAAATTTGTTTTGAAATTTTCACGTCGTTACAAGTTAGTATCAGAGCCGTGGTTTGAGGGATTCGGATGTACCTTCGGGTATGTCTGGACTCAAACTGAGGAAATGAGGAAAATTTTCAAAATAAATGTTTTTTTTTTTTCTAAAACAAGTAAGATTTTCTAAGAGAAAGCGGAAGGAGTAGTGTGTACAATCAGCCAGAGCCCGAACGGTGATTTCCCAAAATACCATTACATTTGTGTTATGAAATATATTATGAGATATTATGCATGCTAGAGATAGGCTAGATATTTCATATTTTAGGACTAGAGTGGCCTGATTTGTGATGCCTTAGCCTAGGAGTTGTTGTTATCTGTGATGCACTTTCGAGTATGTGCTGAGTAAGATATATCCAGCGGGAATCCTTTGTAGAGAGGGATTTAGGTAGAGGGGTGATCTAGGAGAGATACCTAGATTAGCATTGTGAAGCCTACCGAGAAAGTAGCTAGATACCGCGGGAGGTAGAGTTGCATAGTTCAGTGATATCTTTTGAGTATGAGTAGAGCTAGTGGAGTTATCACCTAGAGTGGATTATATGTGTTTATTCGACGCCTAAATGTTGCTTGCTTCATGCTTTGTGGAACTCCCGATGATGGGAGTCAGCTACCAAGTGAATGTGACGATATTCAGGAGGTAGATGGCTGGCATCATAAGGAATTTCTCAGCAGCTGATGGCGGAGAAGTGTGAGAACCTAGGAAGATCCTAGGAAGTGACCTTAGCCAGATAAGTACGCTGATAGAGTAGAGCATTTTTCTAGGGAGCAAGCATGCGTGTTGATACTGGTGATGAGAAGTTTGAGCAGCTACTTAGGGAATCTGGGATGATCCGTGTAGAGAGTATGGGTAGATGTGGCAAGTAGTATGGGCCCATACTACTGAAAGCAGAGGACCCATACTCGATGCAGGGAGTATTCCAAGGGTTCTAAGTAGCAGGCTAAGAGGAGATATCGTGGTTCGAGTACCATGATTGGTGGCAGAATGAGAGGAGATATCGTGGTTCGAGTACCATGATTGGTGGCAGATTGAGAAGAGATATCATGGTTCGAGTACCAAGATATGAGGCGGTCAGTGCTTCTGGTTTTACTGGTTATTCCGCAGAGATTATCTAGGCCAGGGTCGAATGTGAAAGAGTATGGGTCCAGGAGGTCAGGATGAACGAGTTTTAGTGGAGCATTCCTTGATAGGGGAATCGATTTAGCTCCGAGGGATGGTTGGTGATATCCCAGTAGAGTCGCAAGACTCAAAGTTGAGTAGGGTCGGTGCGTTATGGAAGAATACAGTCTGAGTTGGGCAGTTGGCCGATAGTAGAAATGTCACCTTTTGTGACCCGAGTGGTGTTATTTCCATTTCCTGAAGGAGACGTAAGAGGTGTTGAGGTTTCGGTTTCTAAGTTGGGGGTGAGCCCTGTGGGATCGCACTAATGGTGATCTTCAAACTAAGTGTCTGGCAGTAGGTCTGTCGCGAGGGAATGATATAGCTTGAGCAGGATGTCAGTGGGGATTGAGATGGTCAAGTACCAGGATTCGCCCTATTTGAGTATAGTAGGGCATGTGATAGCTACAGCGTTGGGCGATCAGGAGGAGTATATAAGGGCGGTGACTCTTTTTATCTTTGATGGGCATAGAGAGTGGAAATGTGGTTTCTACTCTTATGATAAGGGACGTGTCGGAGCATTGGGCGAGAAGGCAATGATGAGGAGCATGATAGTTCATTATTCCCATATTAGGATTCAGGGTTAATACTGGACATTTGGGAGGTCCGGTGATGGTATGATGTGAGATTCTGAATGACTAGATGCAGTCATGATGGTAAGTTCCGAGGATTTCC